TTATATATATATATATATATATATATATGTGGTGTATGTATGTAAGTTTGTGTTCTCATCACCTTGATTTCAGTTGATGAAGCTTCATATATTTCAATTACTTTAGTTTGAAGTTCAGTCTTCTTTTCTTCAAAGGTTTTGTTGTATTCCTCCTACAAAGTACACAAACCAAAAGTCATATATATTTATATAGCTAGCACATAAGCTATTGTTTTTGTTTCATTTTCAACAACAGATAAAAAGGCAGTTTAAACTAAAACAAAACACTGACTAATATCACGTACATAAAAGAGTTTAAAAGTTTTGAGAAGAGTGAAATTAACCTTAGACTCATCAAAGGACTTAGAGGCTTCAGCAGCTGCAGCAGCTTTCTTGGTACTATTCTTCTCAAAAACCTTCTTGATCTTGGGAAGAACCTTAGACTTCCAATACCCCATCTTGAATTTGTTTCTAAAACTCTTTCTCTCTTTCTCCTAAACCTTAACTAATCAAACTACGAAAGCAAGTGTGTGTTGCAGCCACTTGTCTCTCCAAATTAACACATATATAAATTAAATATCTATTCTATTATATTACTCTGAAGGCACTCACTCACCAATCCAGCACACACACCAAACATACTTCCAAATTACAACGAAACAAACCAACCTTCAAATTCCAACCTAATTACGTGCATTACCTATTGCCCATTCATGACAGCCAAACTTCGCTGCTCAAATGACACCATTGCCACCTCTTGTCGGGCCATGCAACTAGTATGACACGTGACGTCAAAGGTGATGCAAGGGCAAAAGGGTAATTGCACAAGCATTTTAAAAGAGTTAGGTCTGACAGATATGATTAATATGCTTCATGGAGAAGGTGTTTGTGGTAATTATGTGGGGAACCAAAGGGGTATAAAAGGGAACCAAATTTTGTGGGGGAAATGACAGTTGGCAATAATCTTATTCCATAGGTGGCAAACATCAGATGTGGGTCCCTACCGTTTTGTATTTATGTCATCTATCATTTTGTTAATTTTATGGATTTTAATACCTATGATGTTGATCTGTAACTCATAATTTGGCTTTATCATCTGCGTTGTGCAATGTTGAGGACAAAAATGCGCTTGTGTTTAATTTGGCTCCTCAAATGAAACTTGGCACATGGCTTAGCTGGTATGGTACTGCAATCACGCTCACGATGACTTCTATTCTGTTCAAACCCTTTCTGTTTAGAATATACAAATTATGAAGGTTGTTTATAGATTAAGGCTTTTGGACTTGGTGGATTAGGAGTTTTGACTAGGTAACCAACATGATAAGCTCTGTGCTGTGGATAATATAAAACTTTAAACTGATTTGAAACGAAAACTGGAGTTGAAGGTATCTATCATTTGTAGGGTCCAGAAACCCTCGAGGTATATACCCTGTCGTCCTCTCTTTCTGAAAAATATGACCCTTGCGAAACCTAGGGACCCAATAAATTCTTATGCAGTAACAGTTACCAAAATTAATCATACAACACAAGTGATATACAAGACCCTCATTTTAGGGGGTCGAAAATGTCAATGCTAGTTTAATGTTAAAGGATTTTATTTTTTTTAGTGTACCTTAAATTTAATCGGTCTTACTTTTTACTTTGGTGTTAGAAGCACGACAAAGTAAAAGGTCTAAGTTTGCATTAAGATATTATCAACAATATAAATTTAACAGAAAAATTTTTGCTTTGTTCGGAGGCGGGAGGGAAGATTCTTTTAAAAGTAGGTAGTTAAAATTAATCTTGTCAGTATTTATAACATTATTATTTATTAATATATATATATATATATATTATTACTTGTGACTAAATAAATATTTACTTAATATTTTCTTAAATTCATGTATTTCAATTATTTGAAACTGAATTACTATTTTTATAATATACATTTAACTTTTTTTCGTTTTAAATCTTTACCTGCATGTCTATAAATGGTAGTTTTCAACAAATTGAAGATCAAACTTGATAATATAAATCGATAATCGAGTTGCGTAGATATTCAAGACAAGATGGGAGAGAAGAAAGTTTTGGCTCTTGCCATGTTTATTGTGGCTTACACTTTGGCGATAACAACATTCGCATCATCTCAAATTCCCTCAACTTGTAATGGGGATAATGGACTACTTACTTTATTTAAAAAAATAACTTTTTTTCGGTAAAAAGTAGATGGTTCATACTCTTGAAAAAGATATGTATACTATCATTCAATTATAAATAATTATGTATGGCTTGAGTATTTTTTTCTTTTACAATTACCGACCTAAATTACATTTTTTCCTTTGTGTGCTACCATGAAAATTAGGCCCACTGACCAAAATTATTCCCAATAAATTTGGCCTCTTTTTAAGTTTTTAGAAATCCGTGCGGAGGTACCATACATTTCGAAACAAAAACAGAGAAAGAAAAGTACAGTTGAAGAGGAGTTATATTGAATGAAACAAAAAATCAAATGTACCACTATAAGTTTAGTAATTGTTGTTTATTTTATTTAAATTATGTGTTATTATGTTAGTTGTTTTTAAGTTGAAAAATTCTGAAATTAAGGAATCTTTTGTGAGTTTTCTTTTTAGTTGAAAAATTATTTGGAGAGAAATATATTTTAACCTTGAAAAAAAGAGCATATAAAGATTAATTTGACTTGAGTTTCATGAGCTCATTTCTCATAATAACTTAGAGAGAAGAACTCTAGTTTTTAAGAACATTCCTTCTTCTTTCTAACCCTCAAAGTTGTCGAAGCTTGTAGTTGAGTAGCAAGTCGATGTTTTGAAGCTGTTGAAACTGAGAAATTGCATAAGTGCGAAGTTGTCTCAATGGTTGCTTTAGAGTTCTTCTTCTACTTCATTCTTCATCTCTGTGCTTGGAGTTGAGGTAAGGGAAATTAGATTAGATTTTGGTTGATGTTGAGTTGTGTATGTTGATCTTCTACTAGATTGTTGCTTGAATTGCATGTATTGGTTAAAGAATTGACTCTACCAAGATTGGTGTCAGGTGTAAGGAAAGAAAATCGTTTTAGGTTGGATTGAGGTTGGGCATAGGTTGTATGGCACCGAGTGCGGGTTGCCTTAAATTAACTTGTTTTATGATGAAATTGGTGAACATGTATAGGATTGTTGGATCTATTACATGTTGTAAGATTATTAAGTTGTGTTGTATGTTGTATATTGATGTATGATGTTGAATCTCTATACATTGATCTAAGATAATGTATAGTTGATTAAAGGATTGAAAGTTGAGTTGAGTTGTATGTGACTTAGTTGAGTAGCTGCATTGAAAGTTCTTTGACATTAAAGTTGTATTGTGTTGATAAACCTAGAACTAGAAGAAAGTTGTTTTTAAAGTTGCATATCTCATTATAAGGATATTGTGTTGTAGTGTTCCTAGAGTCCAATTTGTTGAAAAACCCTTCTTGAAAAGTTGACCCTTGAAGTGGATAGTTATTCTCCTTTAAGATTTTAGTTGATGTGGTATGTGGATCAAGTTGAGACATATTGGCTATAAGTAACCAATGTTGATCCATATGTGGGTAAGGTCGATGCATACGCGTATAAAGTGACCAAATTAGAGTAAGGTACAAGGTCAGAGGTTAAAATCTCTAACTAAGTATTAGAAGGGTGTAATATTTGGAGGATAATTGACAGACTAATCACATGGTTGATTTAGTTATACTATCTAATGTTGCGTTAGGCTCACACTAAAGCTATTCTACCTTGATAGGAACACTAAACTTCCTAGTTTAAGTGACAACATCCAAAAAATATGTTGTTAGGGATTGATATCCCAATTGGCTGTTGATCTAGTTGGATTGAAAAGATCGGATTATTGGTTTATTAGGATTAAACTACTTAAATTGTTCATCTATGTTATAGAAGATCTCTATAGTTGAAATGCGTGACGATTCATATAACTAATTTATTATGCATGTGGTTGAATTGTTGTGTTATGTGATGCATATGCTATGTGGTGAATGTTGATTTGAGTTGAATGATGGGTTGAGAATGATATGATAGTAGTTCATATTTTATGTTATATACGATTTTTCTTTAAACTCTAGCTTATCTTTATTTATTTTTCATGTGGTTAAACTATAATGATCATACTTGCATGAAAGCAAAGTAGAGTTAGGCTTAAGGAGATGTATTTTTGAGGTCATTGTGTGGATGACAATGTAGATGTTGTTTTGGTGCTACTCTCATGTAATTGAACTATAGATATTACTTAACCAGTTGATCGACAATTAGGAATATCATACTTAGTACCAAACTATTTTGCGTGTGTGTATTTTTGGTTTTATGATTTCCAATCTTTAAATTATATCATATGATTATATTTATATATTATTGTATGCTTATCAAGGTACTTATTGTATGTTGATCCTAAATTAGTTTAATTGATTTCATTGAATATAGTGCTGATAATGGATCATTACATCAAATACCCTAAATCAATAATTATTACTCGATTATAAAATAAATAGCCTTTTTTACATAAAATATATTAATCAATAGTTTTAATTCTAATTTTATTCTAGATAAATGAATAATGTAACTTTAATAAAATTTAATTTAGTAAGTTACTTTTACACAATTTTTAAAAAATAACCTTGAAAATCACTTATTTTAAGCTTGGAAGCAAGACTGACGTTAAGCTTTTTTGTGCCCTTATAACTATTTGAATGATACTAAAGATGAACTCAATCCTTAAACCTAAAAGTGTAAAATACAATCAATCAAATACAATTGTTAAAAAAATGACTAAACATGTAGGAGATTTGTACAAAACTAAGTTATCCTTAAAAATTACTACACATTAAAAAAAATAGAATAATGACAATACTTCACAAAAAAAGCTTGCGAATGAAAAATATAAGTTCACAATTTGATTAAAATTCAGGTGGAATAAAATAGATCATAATTTAAAAAGTAAAAGGTGAATTAAAAAAAATTAGAGAAAAGAAAAAAAATCAAAAACAGTATTTATTTATGATTTTAAATTAACACTTGTTCAAGATAAAAAAAAAAAAGTTAGTAATATATTACATTTTTCTTTTTACATTTAATATTACTAATTTATTTATTTTTTTAAATTATGAATAAATTTTTATAAACTAATAGGGAATATATTTATTGATTAATTGTTTATAATTAATTTATTTTTGCTAATATTTTTTTATACAATTTAATTATATAAAATTTTATTTTTATATTATATAAACTAAATAACATTTTTATTTTGGTGATCCTCCGGTAAAGAGGCCTTGAGTGGTCACCCTACCATGGTTGCTTGGGAGTAAAATATTGTTCACAACCACAGTAAATTCAACCAGAGGAATTGAGGAAACGTAGAAAGGAGAAAGTAGTTAATGAAACTCTTCAATCTACATCAGTGTAAATATAACATATATAATTTGTGAAGAAATAAACTGATGGTGCCCTATTTTTTGATGATAAATATTAAAATTATAAATACAAATGCATTATAAACAGTCATCAGATAAGAACCAATTTGCTGCTCAAGACTAGGTCTAGGTCAACCTTCAGATCACTGCAATAATTGTAGATGAGATGAAGTGATTTCCAATTTCTTTTCCCATTAGAATGTCAATCAATGACATAATTAGGAGCCACAGCTAAAATTCGGTTATTTCTAGAGTGTTCTTGACCACCATCATCTACCACTACCAAATGGCCCTCTCTTCGAATTAAGCTCTGAAATACGTAGAAATTTTTCATATATTTAATATGCACGCGGAAAATATTTTAAATTATTGAAAGGGTGTAAAACAAAAGCATACCTCTATAATGGCTTTAATTTTGGAAACTTCAGCTGCTGCCTCCTCCATCGAACTGTAGTTGTTTGTCTCATTTTGCTGATTCACGTACCATTGGATCAAATCTCGTTGCCTCATCCCAACCAGACCAGTTCCTGTGATAATTAATAAGCACAAAGAAAATTCACTTTTCAATATACTAGATGACATAAGACACTTCTAATATCTTTGGCAAAATATAAATAATGAAATCTTGATGTACATCCCACAAAGGGTATTCAAAGTTTCAGAATATGAATAGGTGGCGGGTCCATTAAACCTAATTAATTGAAATTTTAATATTTTTGGTGTTCAGATGTGAAATAACAAATAGCAATAGTTTCAAGTGACCACCTTCTCGCATAGCAGCCTCTTCCTGCTGTCTAAGGCACATGACAAGGGCCCTGGTAACCCTCTGAAAATATTCATCACTTATAACGAGTTTTTTCGGTTGTTTAGTTCCATCTGCTGGATTTCCTGCAAGATAATTAAATCATTGCATATTTAAGCTTTATCAAGATTGATGATCTCAAGGTAGAAAAGGGCTAAAAACCTCACCATCATTTCCAGCAGCTTCATTCATCCCTTGCGGGTTAGATCCATCTGCTGGATTTCCTGTAAGATATTAAACCAATGCATAACTAAGATCAAGAGATAATTTCATTGTAAAATGGGTTAGTGGCACTTTACCATCAGCTCCAGCAGCTTGCTGAGCTGTAGAATTTCCCGCTTGATCATTAGCATCTCTATTATTATCATTTCCGTCACCATCACCACTACCTGGGCCGTCTTCCCGATTTTCTTGAAACTCAGACAGATCAATCTCACTGGACTCCACACTGCAGGATAAAGTAAAATGCAATAATCACCTAAAGTTAGCTTCCAAAATAATAATAAAATAAAAAAAAGGTAAGCAAGAAACATTTTTGCACCTTATTACGGAAGTTTTTAGCAGTTTTACGGCTAGACGAACATGATGAGGTTGTACCTGATACCAAATTTTCTTTTTAGACCAAAGAAAGAAACTATACAACCAATGCATACTACAATAACCCTCAGAAACTTAAAGCACCTGATTTTCCAAATGAGTCCGTGCAATGGCCTCTGACAGCCTGATTAATGCCTCCAACTGCCTAACTGTCATTCTATATGCAACCCTACTCCCAGGATTTGTATCACCTCTACGGAGAGCAACATAAGAATCTACCAGTATTTTTCTGGCATCTGACGTGAGCTGCATTAATCAGGCAAAATAAATAAGAAAGAAGCACAAAGGCCAAAATTATCCTCATTCAGCAAAGCAGTTCATCCCAGAGTCATTAACCTTTGGTTTAAGAGTTTTTGCATACGATATATAACGCTTTAGTTCTGCTGTAGTGAATGCTGGTGCAAGAGCACCTTCACGCTTTTGATGAACTCTCACAATGTGATGAGCTATGTGGTAGTCTGTCTGATCATCTGGGTCATCAATCATAACATACACGAGATCAAACCTTGAAAGTATAGCTGGTGGAAGAGCCACATTGTACTGAAAAAGAAAGAAAAAATAAAGTAATTAGGCCATGCTGTACTTAATTAATAGCAAGGCATTCCATAACTGGTCACCAGAACATCTTACCTTAAGTGGTTTAGACTTGTCATAGCGTCCTCCAGCTGGGTTGGCAGCGGCAAGAATAGAAGTACGAGCATTAAGTGTTGCTTGTATTCCTGCTTTTGTGATACTAATAGTCTGCTGTTCCATGGCCTCATGAATTGCAACCTACAAGCAATCAAATGTGAGGGCACTTGTCAATCCATGATCATGGGATGCAATGCAAGTAAAAAAACACATGCTTCTTACCTGATCTCTGATGTCCATCTTGTCAAATTCATCAATGCAGCAAATGCCATTGTCCGCAAGCATCAAAGCACCAGCCTGAAAACAAATTCTTTACCATGTAAGAAACAAGTAGACAGGTGAATATTATGCAGATCAGAAAATAATCCAACACCCAAGCATATTAAAACCCTCGTTTCTGTTCTACTTTACGGTATCTGCTAGTCATGCTTCATAAATAGTTTCTACACTACAATGAGATGCTAAATGCAAAATTTTATTACAACATCATGCAAATAATTTGGCATGTGTAGAACTCACAAGCCAAGTTGGATAGACAAACTTATAACATGCAGCACACATTGACGTGAAATGACATAGCCAAAATACATGATCTAATTCAGTTCTATGTAAGCATAACATTTTATATTTTCTTGATTCTTTTTTCCCGGGTGTAATTTGAATCTAAAGCAGTTACAATGCTGTTAATATACTTTAACTAGTGATAGATAGTTGCACTGGTTTAATTTAAGTCAAACTAGAAAATGTAATACATGTTTTAATTTAATATTTTAAACTCACTATAACATAGAAATACGTACATGTTGCAGTAAAAAAATAGATAAATAATAAAAGTTCACAAATCAAGGAACTTGGAAATATCTAGCCATCCAGCTGCCTTGATTGAGAGCGTAAATAATTTTTACACTTCAAATAAGTACAAAATAGATAGATTTTTGACCTCAATACAAAACTCCCCAGTTTCTGGTTCCTTAGCAACAGTTGCAGTCAAGCCAGCAGCCGATGATGATTTCCCAGATGTATACACGGATCTTGCAACTAGGCCTGATGTATACCTGCAATGATAAACTACCATACATGACCACTCAATTTGCATAAACGAGTATAAAGCAACCAACGAAAAGGAATGGGGGAGTACTTAAGAAATTGAGACTTTGCACAGCTGGGATCTCCAACAATACAAATGTTTATGTCTCCTCTGAGGCTGATGCCTTCATGAGTAAATTTGTGGACACCACCCATAAGCATAAGAAGGATTGCACGCTTTATATCTGCATGACCAAAAACAGTTGGAGCAACGCTTTCAACTAGTTTGGTGAAGAAATCTGGAGTATTCCTCATTCGTTGAATCTCATCCAGTTCTTGTGCCTGTCAAATCGACCAGCCAAAACAATATAGGGTTAATTATCCTTTCTTAGATATATGATGGAAAACTAACCAAGAACATTATGTATGTGCAGCGGAAAAAAATGTTTACGTCAAGAACTGCAGCAGACATTGAAAGGGAAAAGAAAATGAACAGAAAAATCAACCAGTTTTCCTTATTAAACATAAATTAAGAAACACCGAGGAAAGATAGGAGGAATAGAATTAACCTAAAATGCTTAACTTGATTAAAGCAAATGGAAATAGCACATGACGTTTAGTTAATGATTGAAGCAAAATTATGGCTCTTTACATCAAGATGGATATTCAATGAGTTACATAATGTAGGTAACACCAGTCACAACAGCTGATAATATAGAATCTAAACCAGATGTTGACATCGTGTAATGCATATAAATGAAGTGCATCATGAACTTACATTAAACTGTTGATCGTCTTCATCAGAATCCTTTTTTCTATTCCTGATGTCTGTTTCTCTTCTACCATCACAAATCTGAAAGGTATCATTCGAAAATCACATCCATTACAATCAATATCACATCAAATAGACATTCTATTGACAAGCCACAAATAACCAACCTGAACAGAGTTGGCAATAAAAGCCAGACGATAGGAGAGGTCTCTGACTCCCAGAGCCTTAAGGCCACTCACGCCTTCATTTCCAGCTGAAGCACCCTTGCGCTGAGAAGCTTCCCTGCGGCACTCTGATCTCTCCCCAGGAGAGGCCAATGCCAGTATGTCAGGTATAACAACTAAAGTACCTGTGAAAATCACCCTGCAGGGAGACAAAATATGAATGGTTATTCTGACAAGCAAAATAATCGCTATATTTTTCCTAATTCAACGAAATTTGGAACAAGAAATGTCTCACGTGTCACCAGCCCTGGCTTGTTCAACAATCTCGTGACGAAGAATAACATCCAATGATCTAGGAAGAGAGCCAGCAGGTATCTCTTTTGATGTCTCTTGCATTCTGACTCTTTGCCAATCCGCAAATTTACTGTCTTGGCGCAGCAGTACCCACCTTGTTCGATTGCTACAGGTGGCATTGGTGCAAATTGTTGGCTGCAGAGTAGTAATATAATACCATAGTGAGAATAGTAAAATAGAAACTAAACTATAAAGTTTATCATAAATTAACAACAAATTAAGCTCAAATTCAAACATATTCATCTTTTAATCACCTCAGTATACTTGAATTGTTGTTCAACATTCTTTATAACCCCGCCACATTCCAGGCACTTGAAAGTCCCTTGGAGAAGTTCAGGTCGAACCTCACTTGTCCTTGTCACCACTCCTGTCACTGATACAAGTCTTCCAATTTCTGATGTAGCCAATTCTCTTAACCTGCAATACCAGTGAACACACCAATGAGTCTATAACACTCAAACCAGTAGCAAAGTGAAATTCCAAACTCTAAACCCTCCATTTCTACTTTAAAATTTGACCCAACCAACAAACTAAGAACAATTAATTGTTACTGAAAATTGAAAGGAAAAAAAAAAGGTACCTCTTAATAACTGGAATGTTGTAGAAGGCAATGTTGATGTCCTTGTTAGGGTTATCATCAGATATGAAGGTTGGCTTGAGCTCCATAACAAATCTCTTACAGGCATTCTTTAAGTAAGGTTCAAACCTACAATAAATAGATAAAAACAAGTCTTAGAACCGCAAATTAAGAAACATTAGGGTTTCGAAAAACAAATAAAAACCTCAAATATTCATCCGAAATAGCCAGCTGTAGAAGGTCGCTGAATCTGTTGACATGATCGAAATCGATGAACATCGTGTTGGATTCGTTAGCTTTCATCACTTCAATCTCCCCTTCGTAATAGAGTTCGTTCCGCTGGCCAGATCTGAAGCTGGCGATTCCGCTCAAACAAGTTAGTTATTCGTTTGATACCTAATGAAAGAAAAAGAAGACGATAGTGAAGAAAAAGAAGAAGAAGAAGAAGAAGAATAGAACCTTTTGAGAAAATCTAAGAAAGCGTTCTCAACGCTAACGGCTTTCTCATCCACCAAGAATCCGCCATTTGGTTCCATCGTAGATCACTGAACTGCTGCGGAAGCTCTCTTCTCACTGGAAACTTCGAACCCTAACGTCTCTCTCTCTCTCTGAGTTTGGAATTCAACTTCTCTGTTAAGGTCGGCCTCTAATGGGTGCGCTCCGGGGCGGGAAAACTATAGAGGGAACCAACGTCTTCCCGCCAAAACTTCACCTTTCTGGGCCTCTTTGGGCTCATCTATCACGGCCCGTTTTATAGCTTTGGCCCACATCTGCTCATCGCTTTGTTTAATTATATTTGCGATAAAATCTGTTTCCGATTGTATTCGGGCAATTTAAGGGGTGATGATATATACATCTCTTATTTTTTATAAATATACCTCTAATTTTTTTTAAAATAAAATTTATAAAATATCTTGATTATGTTGATGAAAATGTTAATTTTAGCATTCTGAAAAGTATTTTTCGGAATAATAAAATTATTATTCTGGAAAACATTTTTCGGAAGTGTGTTTCTTATATAATTCCAGAAAATTCTTTCCGAAATATTAAATTTAGTATTCCAGAAAATATTTTCCGGAATTATGTAACAAGCACACTTCCGGATTTATTATTTTTCTAACTTATAATTTTTCAGATTCCCACCTCCCTTCTCACCGTTCTTCTTTCTTCTTTGTGCACCCCGTTTCTTCTTCTTTACTTTTTTCTCCGCACCTCCATACCTTCCCTTCTTCCCTTTTCAATTTCTGCATTATTCTCTTCCTTTTTTAGTTTTGTTATAAGTTGTAAGCGGGTTTAGTATCGAAGGGAAAGGTGTCAAACCATATGCATTTTTTCTTCCAAGTAATTATTCTCACTATTTGTTCCGGAAAGTGTTTTCCAGAATAATAAAGCTTTTGTTCCAGAAAGTATATTTAGGAATATGTAACAAGCACACTTCTGGAAAATACTTTTCAGAATAAAAAATTTACTATTCCTAAATATACTTTGTAGAACAAAAACTTTATTATTCTAGAAGAAAAGTATTTTTCGGAAGTGTGCTTGTTACATAATTCCGGAAAATATTTTTCAAAATACTAAATTTAATATTTCGAAAAGAACTTTCCGGAATTATATAAGAAACACACTTTCAGAAAATACTTTCCGGAACAATAATTTTACTATTCTGGAAAATATATACTTTCCAGAATGCTAAAATTAATGTTTTCATTAATATAATCATGTTTAGTTAGAAGGATATTTTAGGAATTTTATTTTTTTAAAAAAAGATTGGAGGTGTATTTATAAAAAATAGGAAGTGTATATATCATCACCCCTTCTGTTCCATGTATAAAAAATTAAATAAGAGTATTATTTTGATTTCTAATTTTAAGAAATATAAGTCTATTTTTAAATCATTAATTGGCAACTTTAATTTATTATGAGCCTATTAGTAAATTATTTACTCATTTATTGTAAAACTATATGTATTTATTTAGTTATTAACATTGTAAGTCATATTTATTATTTTACAAATAAACTTATACAAACAGACTCCAAATATATATACGCATATAAAGATAAGAGAAGATAATTTGAGATGATTACACACATTTTTTTTTACCCTACAAGGTGAAGTATACATGGATAACACATGTCATTTGACTGTTAAAAACCAAATCTTAAGCGATATTATTGACATGAGACTTTTCTTAACAATTTCATCCAATGCTTTTGATCTCTCAACCTCTTTTCACAAAATTAAGAAAATTGTGTATTATACGGTTCTCCATAGTGTTTATATTGGCCTTTTTATTATACTCTTCTCCCTGGTGTTTATATATAGTGACCTTCTTTATATGTGATCAACCCATCTTAATTAGTTTTAGTTTTTTTTTTTTTTTTGTCATTTTTTCTCAAACGGTGTTACACCAATATGTACTCATATAGTGGCATTTTGTATCATGTTTTTCTTGTGTGAATACATATTTAAATTTCACTCATACTATCTCAATTTTTAATATTTGAGCCCTTGTATAGTCCAATATTTGTTGTCATAAAGTATTGTCAAATATATAATTAGAGTGTAAGTAGGTTAAATTTAGCCTAATTGAGGATCAACCCAATAAAACATAATTGGACCCAGTTGAGTCAAAATTTGCATTAGTTTATCAATCAATTCAATTCAATCAAATTGGGTTGGGTGATCGGGTTTATTTAATATATTAGTATATTTAAATATTGAAAAATAAAATTAAAAATTAGAAGAAGAAAAAATGAACGGTAAGTTATATAATCAATACATGTCTTAAACAATATTAATATTACTTATATGATTAATACATGTCCAACCAAATACATAATTAGTATATTATTACTATTAACATTAATTTTATGTTGAATTGAATCGAGTTAATCAAATTAGAAATTCATTAATATATTATTTAACTCAATTATATTTGAGCCAGTTAAAATATGAGAAACCAACCTAATGACCTAATCCAATCTAATGAAATGTAATTGAAATGAATTAGATTGATCAACTTCGTAAGTTAATCTTGAGGCACTTACACCCCATTGTATAACAACACAACATATCTTACATTGTGTTTATACGGTATTTTGTGATCACAAAAAAGGCCTTTAATTTCATTCTCCATTTTATCATTTCACTTATATTCTACATGTAAAGTTTTCATTGATTTCCTTACATTTTATAATATTAATTAATCTCATAAATTTAATGAATTTTAAATGAGAAATTAATTATTAAGCAATGTAAAATTGTTTTAGAAAGTATTTTTTAAAAGAAATAAAAGATAATCAAACGAATCCTCACTTTTAAATTTTATTTTTAATATATAATATAAAATTTTAAATAATGAAAAAATATTTTTATGTTCTTCTTCTATTCTATTACAATTTATTTTGTTTCACTTTTACTCCATTATACTTACCTCACCATTAATTAAACAAATGTATATTCTAATGGTCTAGTGTTATCAAGAATACCTATGAAAAAAATAATTGGAAAAACAAATTATTGCTTGTGGATCTTAGGTGATGAACAAGTGGGACCACCTTAGGGAATACTAGTGTTATTAGTTGAGAAGAAAAATGAAAACATGAGATTATGTATAGGTTACAAGCAACTTAATAAGGTAATCATTAAGAATATATATTCTTTGTCTAAGTAGATGACCTCATGAACCAACTAGTGAGAGCATATGTCTTTAGTAAGATAGATCTAAGATCAAGATACCATCAAATCTAGGTGAAGTCTAAGGATATTCCAAAGACTGCTTTTAGGACTCGTTATGAACACTATGATTATTTGGTTATATCTTTTGATGTGACTAATGTACCCAGTATCTTTATGGAATACATGAATAAGAATTTTCATCCCTACCTTGATAGGTTTGTATAGTCTTTATAGATAACATCTTGATGTATTTTAGCACTAGAGTTGAGCATGCTGAGCACCTTAGAGTAGTATTACAAATCCTTAAGGATACTTTTTTTTTGCCAAATTATCTAAGTGTGAGTTTTGGTTGAGTGAGGTTAGCTTCCTAGGACATGTTATTTTTGAAGGGATATAGTTGTAGATCCTACTAAGGTTGAAGTCATGCTTGAGTGGAAAACACTAAGGTTAATTTTTTAGATTAGGAGTTTTTTTGGAATTAGTTGATTGCGATAAGAGGTTTATAGAGAACTTCTCTAGGGTAGGTTCACCATTGACCAAGTTGATTAGGAAAAACCAACCCTTTATGTGAGACTAATTGTGAGGAAAACTTCCAAGAGCTTAAGAGGAGGCTAACTAGTGCGCCCATCCTAGTGTTACTTGGCCCTAGTGAAACCTTTGTAGTGTACTATGATACTTCTAAGATGGGGTTAAGAGGAATGCTTATGTAGAAAGGTAAAGTACTTGCTTATGCCTCTAGGCAACTAAAAACCCATGAACACAACTATCATACCCATGACTTAGAGTTAACAAATGTAGTCTTTGTATGGAAAAATCATATTTATGGTTCGAGATTTGAGGATTTCAGTGACCATAAAAGCCTTTGGTACCTATTTGACCAAAAGGAATTAAATATGAGACAAAGGAGGTGGTTAAAATTTCTTAAAGATTATGATTTCGAGCTTAATTAACACCTAGGTAAAGCCAATGTAGTGGTTAATGCCTTGAAGATTAGGGAGTTTGATGTTTTGGAGGAATTTAGAGATCTTATTTTAGTGCATGAATTGATCTCTAGTAGTGTAAAGTTAGGATCCTTAAGAGTGGCTAATAGTTCAGTGGATGATATTAGAGAGGGTCATAAAATAGATTCATTCCTATTAGATCTTGTGGAGAAGTTTAAGTTAGGTAAGGTTAATGATTTTAATGTGGGTGTAAATGAAGTATTGAGACTTAATGATAGGTTGTGTGTACCTAGTATTCTAGAGCTTAAGAAAATGATTTTAGAAGAAAGACACGAGAGTAACCTTAGTATTCATCCATGAGCCATTAAGATGTATCAAGACCTTAATAGGATGTTTTGGTGGTCTAAGATGAAATAAGAGATAAAGGAGTTTATATTAGCTTGTCTAGTTTGCCAAAAGTCCAAGGTAGAACAATATAAAATCAGGAAAGCTTCAACCCTTGAATATACCTGTGTGAAAATGGGATAACATATCATGGACTTTGTGGTTGGGTTGCCTAAAACCACAAGAAATATAGATTTTTTTATTTGGATGATAGTGGATAGCTAGACTCACTAAGTCTGCTCACTCCATTCCAATCAATATTAGATATCCTTCGGATAGATTGACCAAGTGGTAAATAGGTGAGATTGTGAGACTTCATGGGGTAACATCTAGCATAATTTTAGATAGAGATTTTATATTCACCCTTAGATTTTGGGAAAGTCTACATAAGACTTTAGAAACTAAGCTTAGGTTGAGTTCAGCCTATCCTCTTTAAGAGGACTATCCATTAGTGGAAAAAGAAAAAAAAAACTTTTAAAATCGGTTATTAACCAATTTTAAAAGTGCACTTTTAAAATCAATTAAAAACAATCAATTTTAATAACACAACTTTTAAAATTGACCATAAAATAATCGATTTTAAAAATCTTGACTTTTAAAATTGATTAATTTTTAATCGATTTTAAAAGTGGTAAAAAAAATTAAATAACAAATTTGTTTTGGGATCGTCATAAAACAAAACCTGCAA